AGTTTTAGCGCGTTTGTTACAAAATATGAAGCGAATAAGCGTCAGTGTATGTACAACAGTGCCAGAAGTTAACTTGAGGGAAAGCTGTGCTAATTGCTCTTGTCCATCCACTAAAATTTATTAAATATTTTGCTTTGTGTATTCCAAAAGGAGAGGGAACTATTTCATTTGTGCCTTCATGTCAGAATTGAAGGTGGATCATTAAATTTTCAACGCAGTTTACAAACAAGCATTTGGTCTTTCTCGTTTATAAGCAGTGGCTAAGAAAAGGTTGATCAATCCTGAAGTTCAGTCATCGTACCTCAACTTGGCAGCAAGATCCCCCAAGGACAGAGGATATATTGTATACATGTCCTGTAAATCAAAACAAACAAGCATTTGGTCTTTCTCGTATATGTATAAGCAGTGGCTAAGAAAAGGTTGATCAATCCTGAAGTTCAGTCATCATACCTCAACTTGGCAGCAAGATCCCCCAAGGACAGAGGATATATTGTAAACCTGTCCTGTCAATCAAAACATTTTGTGCCTTCAAAGGCTTAAGTTATCTGTGGTGTGATCGGAGTTAGGCTATATGGCCGTTTTTGTTGTATGTTTATGTGGAGATTGAATATAACTGTGACCCTGTGCTTGTTTGTATACTTACGGTCAAACAGGGAACAGCACATTCACATAACATACTCACCTAGCACCTAACTCATAGCTGTACCCTGCAGGATCTGTACTTGTTCATGTCTCGAGCATTAATAAAGCACTAAAGTAGCTTAGTAATCATTTCCCACATTTTCTGAGCATCTAACATGACATACAGCAGTGCAGAGCAGCTTCAGAGAAGAAACACTTAAAATGCACAGACTCACACCAGCCACCCAATGAGCCAGTTCCTCAGTTGACTGTTTCCCTGGACACAGCTTGGCAATTTGAGCTAACTTTTGGCAAGGTGAAGGTTAGCAGGTAAGATTGAGTTAGGGTGAGTACCTACCTATAACTGGGTGCTACTGCCATGCAGGTCTTGGGTAGGCTGCAAATATGTGTGATGATTGAGGTTAGGTCAGCTGTCAGGTTAGTCAGGTTCAGGTATGCTCATTGCTCAGGTCACATTTTTATGGACATTTGGCAAATTAAAAAACTAACAATCTGATCTAAGCTAACCCGACTAAACATACACAACTACTGACTATAGGAACTGAGCACCTACCTAATTGTGCCTACATCTCATACCATGTCAAAGTAGAGTTCCTTGGTGGAAGATTACCCTCAGTACTTTTTATCCCAGCCCTGTGAAGAAAACTAATGCTTCTAAGCTCGGAGTCACTGCTGGCCATCCACAGGAAGAAATGCTGAAACTGAGAGCTTTGCCATTGTATATTGGACCAATAATGACTATCACGAATGACTATGAACACATAATATGATCACATCGCTGCATGGATTGTCACATTGACAATTTTACGACAATCCTTTTTCAAGAAATACAGTGATGATGATTAACATCAAAATCAACATAAAGTGGATTTAGTGATCCAAGCTTTCTCCTCCAGTAGCAATGGAATGATCACATGTTTCATTTGCCAGACACTGAGTACCTGATGCACATTACAATCTGCATAGCATCTAAGCATAGTAAAACTGCCCAAGTCCATTCATTCTAGATTTTAACTTGATAGTTAGCACTAATTTATCTTGCTGTTGTAAGTTATTATTCAATATTCATACCAATACATCAATATGCGCTCATCAGTCAACATTTCTGGCATGATCCTGCTCAGCGTGCTCTTCAGTATTGCTCCAAGGTCTGCAATATTATAGCTTGTTTTTGGACAATAAGCTCTTTTAATTTTACCTTTTCTTGCTGAGTGATATATGAGCCCGATCAACTTGCGTTTATCAACCAAAATTTCATAACTTGTTCAACTTGATATTTATATTGCTCAGTAGTCAGGACCTCTCTCTGTCAGCCTCCTGGATACTTCAGATTGTTTTCAGTCAACATGCTTCTTAAATATGATATAAGTCAATCTTAAGGGATTCAAAACATCCAACAAAACGACGTACAAGAGCAAGAAAACCACCAGATAAACTAAAAAATGGCCTTGGAACAGAGCCAAGTGGTGCTCCATTTGTTTGTTTACAATGATTGTAGTGCTGATGTATTTTTAGGACTCTGAACGTCGGCTTATAAAAAAATGAAACGTTTTTACAAAAGTTGTAAGGCAAGTAATATTTATCTGAAAGAACTAAAATATTCAAAAGCCAAACACTATGAAATACATGAATCGGTACGAAAAAGTAACCCAAAAATCCAGCCTAATTACCGGCTCCTAAAACTGCAACACAATCAGCACTTTTCCCCGCAACTCGTTGTCCAGACGTAAATATGCAGAGCGCGCGGCCCGACGCACCACCACCGCACCACAAAGTATGAGCAGAAGCCGCGCCCAAAGCCAGGGCCCCGGTAACGTGAGGTAGCCGAGTCGGGGCAGCGTGCGCTGACCCAAGCCGGGGCCGCGGCTTTGGGCGCGGTCTACCGCATCCCCGCGGGCAGCCCCGGGCTATCACATGACACCGGGAGGACGCGCGGCCCCGGCTTGGGTCAGCGCACGCTGCCCCGACTCGGCTACCTCACGTTACCGGGGCCCTGGCTTTGGGCGCGGTCTACCGCACCACCTAACAGGCGTGTTCGAAACCGCAGGAGATGATGGTGAACGGGTTTATCGAAACTTGATTGGATGAGCCTATCGGTAATAGCGATTTCAGACGTGCATTTATTGTTCATAGTGGTGTGAAATGTGGTTGGGGTACGACCGACAACCCGTCGGGGCGAATTTCGCACTGGGGTACTCAAAATTTGAAAAATTTAAGACGTTTCCATGAGTTTTGAAGGTATGGATAAGTTCTAAAAATCCGGTTCTCCTTATCTGGGCCATTAACTCCATACGGTCCAGGAAAGCTGGCACACTACCTTTAAATGCCCAAATTAGAAGAGTTAGACATTTTGTTTTTCTTACAGACAATGACAATAAAAAAACAATGCAATAAGACCAGACGTTTCGACAACAAAGTGCCTTCGTCAGTGGAAAACAAGATATAGGCTTTACATCGATAAAAAATATAGATTTTTTAAAAATATTTTTATCTTCTATATTTTTTATCGATGTAAAGCCTATATCTTGTTTTCCGTTGACGAAAGCACTTTGTTGTCGAAACGTCTGGTCTTATTACATTGTTTTTGTATTGTTATAGTCTGTGAGAAAAACTAAATGCCCAAAGCTGAGTTATAAGAATGATGCTCAATCCCCATTTCCCCTCCAACAGGGCGCGAGAGTCTAGGCATTCCTGTGGCCTGTGGGGCACAGGCTAACAATGACTATCTCATAAGCATTGTGGCCATGAACATCTACTGCCATTCTTTAACACCGATTTCGCTGCGCTGAGCGGTGGCCGTCTCGTTTGTTGGATTCTACAGCTGGCTGGCGGAAAGCGTTACCGGCCACCCGTCCACCGCCCGCGGGCCGGACCGAGCGGTCCCGCTGACCCTACCTGACCTGAGCCCGGCGCGATATGGGACGGGCAGACGGGGGTTCGGCTCAGCGAAGGCAGCGCCCACTGGTGCTGGGGACTTTTTTAATAGACCTACTGTATACCCTGTATACTGTGTACCCTGTATACTCCACATACTGTCGCCCGTGAATAACGTATACTATATATACTTCTACTAATCAAAAATTTAACTTCTTGATGAATTGTGCTTTCACGCAGGTGCTCATCATGGATCCAGTATATTCAGTGCATTCATTATATGTAGGTCCTTCAGGCTTGGCAGTGGTCATGGAGTGCTCTGCACTCTGCAGAAGCATTTCGTTGAATTTCATATCGTGTCTGATCGTAGGTCAAGTTACCTGTCGTTTATAAAAAGAGAAAATAAGCCGATATCGACGACCAAAATTACTGGGACCTTCTGTCATACGAGTACAGCTAATTTGACCGTTCCATTGCTTGTTAGATGTTCCATAACCGCCCCGGTTACACTTTGCCGATGAAAAAGTAACTACCAACAGATAATTCAGACTTCTTTGCGCTCTCGACAGCGTGCAGACTGCAGAGTTAACTCGACAGTTATGTGCAGAGTAAGTGTCCGGTGGTTTGGTGTAAGGTAATGTCAGTGCCCAGTGGCCCTGTTCCACAAGACAACTCTCGTTCATCTGCAAATGCGTGACTTCAAGCGGCGATGAGTGAAATACCTCTAGGCATGCTTAAACGATAAAGATTGATAGAAAAGAATCACATGGCATTTGCGCAAACTATTTAATCTACGCTACACCGTTTAAATTTTTGGTGACGTTCGGCTTATAACAAGTGAAAGAAAATGAGCCAATTAGTTTGAAGCCGTCCTAGCATCGTCATTGAATGTCATGCATGTTTTGCATTGTTTCAGTTTCCCAGTAATGCATTTTTATGATAATTTGACGGTATGATGAGGTGTGGTCATTGTGCAGCTCCCTTGAGGAATGTCGAACTGTCATTTCGCTTCATCTCAGGAGAGTCTCTTTGCTTCATACGCCATTAGCAGCAGGCTCTTTTCGCACATAAAATGCCTGTAATTTATATACACGCATAAAATGAGAAAACTGTCGAGACGGTTGCCCAATTTCAGCGATCCTGAATATCTGCGCCATTGTTAAAAAGTCGACTAATTGGCCGGAGTTCGGTACATTTCATCCTTTTTAGATGTCTCCAATAAAAATTAGATACCTAAGCATTTACTATGTAGGTATCTGTAGATTTAGGTACTTGGTTAAAGTCAGAGACATGGTGTCAGCGTCAGTTGATGTCCCTGCAGCCCTGCACTCTAGCCCGGCTCCTGACCTGGAGCCACCAGATTGTCGGCCACTACCAGCCGCAGTGTCGTGTCTTTTATTGTTCGTAGTTGTGAATAACGTCCTATAAGTACACTTGTCTGTCGCCGCCCAGTATCGGGACTAAGTAGTGCCTCCTTTTTCCAGATGCGCTGGTCGCTAGCGCTGCTGGCCACCCTGGTGGCTAGCTCGCTGGCTCAGGTAGACTACGCTCCCGGCGCGGGGCCGCTGCAAGATCAACCACAGCAGCAGCAGCAGCAGCAGCAGCAGCAGCAGCAGCAGCAGCAGCGGCGACAGCTGCCTCGGCAGTCGTTCCAGGCGGCTCAGCGGCCGCTCCAGTCTCCCGACTTCGCTCCCAGCGCGCCAAGTGACGGCTTCCAGCCTCGCCAGCAGGCCGACTTCCAGCAGCCTGGACCGCAGCGCGGGCAGCATCCCGACTTCCAGCAGCCCGGCTTCCGGCCCTCGCCTCGCGACTTCGCTCCGGAGGAGGTGGCGGACGCCCGGTCACCGCTGGAGCGTCAGCAATTGCAGGCCACTCAGAACAGCCCGCGGTTCCAGCAGCGACCTCCGGCACAGTTCGCCGAGGGCAGACTCGGCCGGCTCTCCGGCGCCGACCAGTTCAGGGGGCAGCAGGACGCGCCCCGCGACCAGTTCGTGGACCCGCGCGACCAGTTCCGTGGTCCGCCGCCGGGCCGACGCCAGTTCGACGGTCCCAGGGACCAGTTCAGTGATCCCCGGGACCAGTTCGACGGTCCCAGGGAGCAGTTCGGAGGGCCCAGGGATCAGTTCAGTGATCCCAGGGACCAGTTTGGCGACCCCCGGGACCAGTTCGGCGGTCAGCAGAAGGCTCCTGTCCAGCAGCAGCAGCAGCGGGCCCCGCAGCCGGCACCAGCTCGGCCAGACAGATCCAAGAGCCGCTTCAAGTCGATCGCCTACGATGAATCCGACGGAGAGGGCTCGGTAAGTCAACCGAACAACAGAACCTTTAGACTTTCACTCTTACATCCTACGAGTTCCCAACTACTCATCCATTTGGGACGGTCTCTAAATTACTTTTGCAGCATTCGCATTATTCGGCATCTAGCTAGCTAGGCCCATCTTGAGATCATGTCCCCTGATGATGACTTGAATTTGAACCTGGCAGCAATCTGAGAGCAGCTTATTTCATCTGAAACATGACCATTGTGTTAATGCGAAGTGATATAAAAAAGGCTTAATGCTATGCATCAGGTTCATCACCGTTAGTTAGCGAGAGCATGTGTCCCCATTCGCTTGGGTCTCACACTCCATGCTACTGATAAGAAGTGATAATTTTAGGCGTGACCAACTTCGGGATATTTGGCGCTTGCAAAAAGGATTGCAAACATTCCCCAATGCTCCACAGTGGATTATCATAAAACGCCAGGTATGTCTCAGCAGTCGTGGGATAATTTCCCAGCTAAACTGGGACAGCTATCTGTTCCAAAATCTAATTCTGCTTTTGCGTGGTAGACGTATGATAAGACCACCTCGTTTCGTAGCGTGCAAGTCCGGGTGCGCTGCGGGCCCGAGTGACTCCCTCGCTGGCCTTTTTGCGGGCGCGTTCGCCGACAGTCACGACCTATGCCGGATGCCACGCCCTTGCAAGCAGGTACTGGCACATGCAGACACCGTCCGGACGTGAAAAACGATAGCGATCTTGCCGGTCATGCGACATTCAGCAGGTCTCAGTCAGGAGGCTTGTTAGCGAAATCCACGATAGCATGGCTGAAAGTGTCGAAATTCTGTTTTAGCCTCTGTCGCTTGCAGTATCATGCACGCGGTTTCGCCATGACACCTTTATGAGAAAACGCATGCAACTCTTCAGACGTGCGTTAGTTATTCAAAGTAGACATACGAGCACAAAACAGTAATTTACAGCACTTATTTTAGATCTTTTGCCATGCTTAACCGTTTATTTTCCTTGCGTTGGACCCTGTCAGCTTCCTTCTCAGCAGTATTGCAGCCCCATTGTTGTTGTTTGTTTGCACTGAGTCAATCACAGGGAGGTGAGCTAAGTCAAGTGTCATGGCTGAGAGTCCGACCTTATCACCCCAGGCCACCACCGTGGCACGCATTGAATCTGACCTTCACCCGAGCCGGCGGCGCCAGATGTGTTTGAATAGGAGCCGCAGCAGCCGTGACGAAAGACGCAGACAATGCCAGCTTTTTGCTCGGTCGGATGGTTGCAGGATAGGTGTAGACTACACGTGAGGTATATGTGCCGTGTGTGCATTATTGAATTCTTTGTTATCGGGAATATCATTGCATAGAAAATGTCGTATTCAAAGTTGAACTGAAAGTCCCCGCACTGTCGTCCACTCTTCTATTCGGCGCCTTGTTATAAAGCAGTGTGACGGGTGACTCCGCGCAGTGCCGACCCCGGAACTGTCTGAACCGGAGCACGGACAGCTCAACAATGGGGCGCCGCTATGCCACGGCGTTCGCTATGCATTCGTCACGGCAATGTGCACTACATAGGTATGCGTTTTTATGTGTCAGACCAAAGTTCAGCTTTACTTCCTGATTCCTCTTTAGTCGGTTTGTTCTTAGAGCGTTTTTAGCTGTTCATCAATGAACAATGCTTTGTAGAGCCTCTTATGCTGCTCATTTTACGAGCGAAAATGAAGCTGATATATGTTTGTAGAAAGAAAGCTGAAGAAGTGTTCAAAACAGATATTTATATGTGACCGCACAGGCATGTGCATTGTGCATTGTGCACTGTGCAGTGTGCTTCGTACATTGTAGAACCAACTTCGCATAAAACAGTAACGATGATATTGAACTCATTAATACATAGATGAAATAGTATTCCGGACCAGGTCTGCGTCGCCCGCTGTCGTATGCAGTCTCCGTTCCGCTGTGGAGACGCGCGAGCAGTCAGTAGTGGCGGCGCCGACAGTGGCAGTGAAATTAGCGTGTCCCGTCGAGCGTTAGATGCGGCCCCATCCCCGCCCTCCGGTGCACTGGAGGGTGGTGTGAAACTCGGGGTCGCTCCAGTTACCCACGAGTCACCTCTGCGATTACTGAAGAGCCTCTGCGTGTTACACGAACAAGCTTTGAACCGAGGCGTCACCGTTAGGTCGAAGGCTGAATACACAGACGTTACGTTGGCGTATATCCTACGTATTTTATAAACATGTCAGTTAGGCTTACTGAGCTTGGTCATAGAACTGACTGTAAAAACCACCATGGCATCAACTAGGTACTCATCTGACTAATATGATGTTAATCAGACATTTTACCTATGGGAAGATATTTTTATTGTTGTGGGATCGGATCGTTTTCTACAACCCTAACGGGCGATATTATTCTTGGTTTGTTTCAGTTTGACTACAATGACGAGGAGGGACAGCAGGACGCCAGTCCGGACCGACTGTCTGAGCTCCTGGCCATCTCCAAGTTCAAGTGCGACCCGAGCGCCACAGGCTACTACGCCGACGACACGGTCGACTGCGCCGTCTTCCACTACTGCGCTGCCGGCGTGAAGCACTCCTGGGTCTGTCCCGACGGACAGAGCTTCCATCAGATCAACCTCATCTGCCAGCCCACTGGCGAGGGCAACATCTGCAAGCGCTCAAACGAATTTCACTTCGTCAACGACTTCCTCTACAAACAGGTCAACAACGACTCGTCAAACCCGGAGTACGCGAAACGCTTCAGCCTGGACCCCCTGTCGCCCAGTGGGTTTGATGCTGATCCCAACAGTATCGACCAGTTCGGCGCTGGGCCGAGGCAGGGCAGGCCGCAGGCCGGTCTGCAGCAGAGCGGAAGTGAGCGGCAGCGGCAGCGGGCTCCTCAGCGCGGTCGGCAGCGAGTCCGGCGGCCACAGCCCGATCAAGGAGTCGTGAGGCAGCAGGCTAGCGTCCCAGACTTTGACGAGCCGAGTGCATCCAGACCGGGCATCCCAAAGCAGCAGATCACATCGCCAGACTTCCAACAACGTAAACAGGGCAGACCGAACTTCGGAGGACCCAGTGGACCGAGTTTCGGAGGACCTGCGCCACCCAGTGGACCGAGTTTCGGAGGGCCCGCGCCACCTAGTGGACCGGGCTTTGGAGGACCCGCGCCGACCGGTTTCGGAGGACCCCGAGGTATTCCGCAAGGGTTCCCCGAGGCTCAAGGTATTCCTCCCGAGTTCGATGGCCCTCGCGGAGGCAAACAGGGAATCAACAGCGGCCCAACTGGGGGACTGGACAGCAGAGGACCGCAGCGAGGAGGACCTAATCAGTTCCGAGGACCTCCGCCGGCCGGATTTGGTCCACCTCAGATTCAGAGACCTCCCGCCCCTGGTCCTTCCCAACTAGGGGGACCGCAGGGCTTCGGCGCACCGGTCGGCCTGCAGAATCTTGATCAGCTGCGTGATGGACGCCACTCCTTCGCTCAGCAGCGCGAAGGGCAGCTAGGAGGTGGAGGTCCCGGTCAGGACCAGCAACTTTTGGATAGGCCTCGCTCCAAAGCCAGCACTAAGTCTGGGGACTCACGCCAAGAGAATGGAGACGTTGACGCCCAGTTTCAGCGTGCTCAGCAGCAACCAGGAGGCAGGCCTGATGTTCAAAACAAGTTCAGACCAGGAAACAGAGGACCAGGTGGCTTTCAGCCTGGATTTCGAGGTCTGAGAGGCCCCGGCGGACGTGGTCCCAATGGTCCTGGACCACAGGGAATCCCGCCGCTAGGATTCGGCCCGGGACGACCGCAGAACGCTTTCGGGCCCAGTGGACCAAGCGGACCAGGCGGACCCCGTGGAGGAACATTTGGAGGACCCAACGGGTTTGTGGGGCCTCAAGGCGGTCCCTCAGGCGGCTTTATCGACCCTGAGCGTCTAACGCAGCAGGGCCCACTCCCTCGCGGTGCACCCCTCGGTTTTGGTGGTCCGGGAGTTCCTCCGGGCGTCGGTTTGCCTCCGGGCGCATTTCTAGGCCCGCAGGGTGGATCTCCCGCCGATATCGGATTTGCCGGCATCCCGTCGTCTGGCTTCGGTGGTCCGGGCGCCCGCCAGCTGCGTGGAATAGCTCAGAGCAGCGCTCCGGCGCGGTTCAGAGGTCGCGGCGGCGGCTCCGCTCAGCTCCAGGGCAGGCCTCCCCGCTCGAGCAGCGCCAGCGCTCGCTCGGAGCGCGGAGAGACGGCCGCCCGCGGCGTTCAGTACATTGACGCCTCTCAGCTGCGGCGCGGACGGGCGCGGCGGCCGGAGCCGTCCGGTGTCCGGCCCCAGCGCTTCCAGTCGCCCCAGGGGCCGCCCAACGAAGCGGCGGCGACGTCCGATCGTACACAGCCCGGCAATCCGTTCCCGGTAAACGACATCAAACCGCAGCTCCGCTTCACTGGCGAGCCACCCCAGTTCTGAGCACACAATGGAGCCGGTCCGCGGCGACACCGGATGCCGATGTCGTCGGGACATTAACAGCTGACGAGATCGGCAGCTGTTTTAGTGGTTGTCTCATCTGTCCTTGCTGACTCCCTACTCCGGAGCCCACACAGCTACGTGGTCTGGATGGGTGGTTCCGCAGCGCTGGGGAGATTTGACAATGGCTATGTGACTGCATGTAGTTAGTTACTGATACGGTCGGTGACAGGTGCCAGGTGACAGGTGACTGCGCCTAAGCTGCGCAGCGTCACGACCGGCGGGCTCGTGACGCGTCACGGCAGGCCGCTGCGGACGCCAAGGCCGGGCCGCGTCACGCATACGGCTCAGGCTGCATTAAGTTCCGTGACGGCAGTTCAGACCGGTAGAAGAGGTCAGCGCGGAGGTCATGGCGAGTCAGACCAGGCTGATTGTTTTCACATTAGTGAATGCGTTGCTTGTATTTTTTATATACCTGTGATGGATGTTTGGCATGGTGTCGCTTTAGCGTCGCAGCTATGTAACTACTTCCGTTATCGTGCTAAATGTTTCAAAAAGAAGTAAGAGAGCGCGAATGTAATTTCTTCATTTCTGAGGACTTGTCACATGCGCTTAATTAGATTTCAAGGTCTCGGCAGCTATAAGGGCAAAGTCTTCAAGAACTTGAATATTCAAGTTATTTGTGAGATATTGGACTATGTAGGCATTTGCAATTGCATTTGCAATTGATCCGACAATGGTAAACCCGTCATGTCTATTTTGTGTAATAAAAGGTGAATTGGCTTTTCAATAATAAATGAAGGTGACATCGACATTTATTGGACGAACTCTTTACGAATAATTATAGAGTACCTAATTTATGTTGACTAGGATGAAAAAATAAAGGGCTGGAGGCGTCTATGTTACATTGCAAAATGATCGCACAGAATTAAAGAAATGCAATCATGCATCGTTTGGATGAGAGAGAGAGAGAGAGAGAGAGAGAGAGAGAGAGAGAGAGAGAGAGAGAGAGAGAGAGAGAGGGAGGGAGGGAGGGAGGGAGGGAGAGAGAGAGAGAGAGAGCGAGAGAGAGAGAGGAGAGAGAGAGAGAGAGAGAGAGAGAGAGAGAGAGAGAGAGAGAGAGAGAGAGAGAGAGAGAGAGAGAGAGAGAGAGAGAGAGAGAGAGAGAGAGAGAGAGAGAGAGAGAGAGAGAGAGAGAGAGAGAGAGAGAGAGAGAGAGAGAGAGAGAGAGAGAGAGAGAGAGAGAGAGAGAGAGCTTTCAACGACTGGTCCCCGAGTGATGACTATCCTCACGCAAGATACGATGAATGGAGCTAGCAATTAAGCCCAAAAAAAGATATCGAAAATAATACAAAACACTTCTTTTGAAGGAGATGAATTGAATGGCTTTGGAGGCTCACGAAATGTGTTTTAGATATGACGCGTCACACAAACTGACGCATAAAGACTGTGTTCAAAAGTGTGACCGCGAGCACTTGTTGACGAATGAAAAGCGTAGGTACTGCCCGGTCGCCATAGCAACTAGTAAGCGTCACAAATTTCGAACACTATCCGAGTGCGCCAAGTTCGACTACATCGAGGACGATGGAATATGGATGATGGCTGCCAGCTGATTAATCTAATGAAACGCGAATAAATTCAACTTTTGTTTGAGATTGCGAGTAAATATGTGTTTGTTCATTTCAAATATCATTGAATTAGTTTTTGTAAATAAATTAACTACAAACGCCTCTGCGCAAAGTGTTTCAAAGAATAAATCAAGGTTTATGAAAACGTGAGGAGGGTTGGGAAAAGCAGGAAAAAGGGTCACGTGACTGGTGTCCCAATCTTATCTGTAAGAATCTTGGCCCCACCAACATTGGCTGATTTGTAGGATTTTGTTATAAATCTTTTTTCTTTTTTATAATTCTTTAATAATTTTTTTCGTATTGCAATTGCGGAGCTTAATGTCTTTGTAATGTAAAATGTTACCTCTGTGATGAAAAGAATTGATTCAGTGTAGCATTGCCATTGTATTTATCTTAATAATCGGACATTGTAGGTTTGACGACTTTTTGCCCCACCAACTTCCCTGGAGAAGCTCCACCAACACGCCCACCAAATCAAAACCGCTGACCTCACCCCTCGAAAAGTTGATACGACAAATGAGTGCACGCGTCCAACGCCTGTAGCGAAAAGTTCGCCTCCGTAGCCCTTACCGTTTCCAAGCAATAGTCTGTTTTAGCCGTTTCCAATGTTCACCTTATGGTGCACGTGAGCACGCGCCAAGGGCGCACCCCAAGCTGCATCATGCTCAAAATCTAATACGAGCTATGTTGACACACCCTGAAATATTGATCACCGTAGGTCAACGGACGCCGCCGCAATAAGCGCTACAAAAGTGTTACAATTCAATTTTACATAGAGACTAGAGTCATAGAGCCGCTTACAAATTTAAATTTGTGTACGGCAACCTTCAAAACGACAAATTCTCAGCGAATGCACTGGGCGGTGTATACTAATGTCCAGTTAAAACAGCTGCTCCTAATTCTTGTCATGCGTCGGATCTATTTTAAACATGCTGCATTTATTGATCAATGCATGAATTGGGAATGTCACAGCATACGAGTAGGCATTAATTCACTAATCTGTATTAAAATGCACATTATAGAGTCAGCAGTAGCGCCGCCACATCCGCGGAGCGAGTGGCAGCGGCAGCGGTTTGCTGTTCAGGTCATGGGGTGTCAGAAGCGCTGCTGCACCGGTGGAAGGTCACGGGGTGTCAGGAGCGCTGCTGCACCGGTGGACTGAACTGAGACACAGGGTGGGCCGCGCTCCTGATTGGCCCGTGCGCCAGGCTGACGCTCCTGGCCGGCCCGTGGGTCTGGGCGACGCTCCCGTGGGTCTGGGCGACGCTCCTGACCGGCCCGTGCCCCGGAGCGGCCGGCTGTCGCGCAAGGGGACTGCCGCGCACAGAGGCATCCGATGACACCGATGTCATCGAGCCCATCGACCTAGGAGCATCACAACCATGAGCACCGCGTTAAATGTCGCGGAATAAACCTTATAAGCCAGGGGTCTACCAGCCTCGGTCTGCGTGACGAATCCGCACCACGAATATCAGTCAAGATCGAAACACACTTTTGCCATTTTAGTGATCTGCTAAAGAGCCAGGTTTTACTTGTGACACAGGGAAGTACAACTCCGCTTTGACAATTAAATGCATATTGCATTTATGACCCTGTGTCTATAAATGCTGGTGATTGTTGTTATTCTTGTAGGCTCCATCCAGCGAGCCAAAAAAAAAATGTTGACATTCGCTTCCCATCACTCTCCCTCTCCCTCTCCCTCTTCCTCTTCCTCCTCCTCTTCATCTTCCACTTCCTATTCCTCTCCCTCTCCCTCTCCCTCTCCCTCTCCCTCTCCCTCTCCCTCTCCCTCTCCCGCTTCCTCTCCCTCTCCCTCTCCGTCTCCGTCTCCGTCTCCCTCTCCCTCTCTGCTCACCGTAGGTCCTCGGCGTCGCCGAACGGTAGCGGCCTGCTCTGGGACGAGGCTGAACTGGTGGAGCTCTGGCGAGACACGACCGTCAGCTTTTTGGGCCGGCGCAGCTCCACCTCTGCCGCCTCCGCCTGACATGGCACACCAGCCCAGGTCAGCCACTGTCTGCTAGTCCGTCTACATGGCAGACTGTGACGGTCGCTGTCCTCGCTGTCTGTCTGCCTGTCAATCTATTTGTAGGGATGTTTCTTTGTGTGCGAATGCCTCCTCACTTCTATATCAAGCGAACATAGACTTATTTAGCATTGTGCTTGCTCCGAGTAAACTGGGGAAAGCCATCCTAAGTAAGCTTGGTAGGTATAATTACATGCCACCGGTGCCTTTCTAGGCTTCCTGGACACTGGTGGCAACGCCGGCAACGGAGAGCCAGACTTACTAAGGTACGTGTAAACTTAATGTTCCGCTCTTTTTAGTTCCCTGGCTAGTATTCGCTTCATCATAATGTTGACTTAATAATGATGTTGATTCAGTGAGCACCCGTAAGTGCTCTCTGAACTTGGTAAGCACACACACACCGGCAGACGGTGAGCTCTGACGCCACCTCTCACCTCGCAGGTGACGACGGCGCCGCCACCTAGTGGAGAGCGGCGCCGCTGCAGCTCCGTCAGCAGTTCAGCAAACTCGCGCTGCAGGCGCGCCGCGTGCTGCCGGTCCTCACACAGCTCCTGTTCCGAGTCGTCGGCGGTGGATGTCGCTCGTAACGCCTGCAGCTGACTCTGCACCCCACTCAGCCGCTCCTGCAGCTGTCGACAGCACAGAGTGACCCGTCAGAGCGCGTCAGAAACTAGACAGGCCCGGTATTTAGTAAACATTTTAGTAAACCCTAACCATCATATACCTAAATTTTACTGAAAGCTAAAACGGCCCAGAAAAGGTCCCAGAAGGCAGAAAGAGATCCAGATGCGGTGAAAATATTTATAAAAAAAAAACGTTAGAGGCTGTAGAAGTACTGAAAAAAAATGTGTGGGTATAGACGCCAGACGGTCTTCGTCGAACCATCTTTGTTTTCTTAGTGCCAGCGTGCAGAAGCTTGTAATAAAGAAAAATATTCTTGTCTTTAGTGTCAGCATAAACAATTTGAGATGCAGAAATAGGTGCCCATGTATAGTATAAGTAGTGACAGCGGAGAGGAGTAGCAAGCCGCTCCGTGACCTCTTCGACTCTTCTGTATCGACCGGGCCGCTTTCGTCCCAAATGTTTTTCTTTCTCGGACGTCCCCCTCCTTCAGCCGTGCCGAACCGCACTACAGTTCTGGAGTGTTTTCCCAAGCCTGCCCCGTCGGCGGCTGAGGGATCTGGCACTCCTCTCTGGCTCTCTAAAACCTTTTCCAGAGCCCCCGCCAAAAAATAGCGACCGAAGTGAGTCGCTATAACCTTTACCTAACGGTGCCTCCAGAAGATGACGCCGAAGCGTTATCGTTTCAAATCGTCTCCAGCATGGAAATGAGTCCTATAATTGACCATTGTATTATACTCGAGTCTCGAATTTACATTTGATGGATAATGGGTTGCAACACCAGGCATTATGATTTATGAATATTTATCTAGTAAGTATTTCGTAGATGAACCTCTAAAATAGCTCTTTCAGCCATTTATGTACGGATCCAGAAAGAGGGTCCTATAAAAGACTGCTGATGAGATTCTTCCTAATCAGTTTCTCAACATTTTTAGTCTGTTTTGTTGTAAGCACTGTTTTGAGAGACATGCTTAAACATATAATCAAGAAAAGTAGCCTTACTCTCGTAATTAACATAAAAAACTTAAGAAAAGGCCTGATAATTCTGAGGAGCTCCTCAAAATTATCAGACCTTTTCTTACAATTGTATGTTAAAATTGTCTGAGTAAGGCTACTTTACTTAATTATATCTCAAAATTATTGTCAAATTGGGCTTTATTACAAATTATCAAATCCTCTCTCCTTATAATTATTTTTTTTTTGTTTTTGCACGGGGTGAAAAACGACTAAATCTGACGCATACGGTTGCGTCAATCGTTGATAGCCCCCCCCCCCCCAATGGATCGGTCATTGCATCCATTCTGCAGCATTACAAACTGATCCCGTGTTAGTGTATAGACTGGGGCTATGTTGCTCGCCGGCCGCGCTACCGACTGACTTCGTGTGTTGACCTGGCCGGGACGCCCACTGACCTCGTGTGTTGACCTGGCCGGGTCGCCCACTGACCTCGTGTGTTGACCTGGTCGGGTCGCTCACTGACCTCGTGTGTTGACCTGGCCGGGTCACCTACTGACCTCGTGTGTTGAC